GGGTCAGAGAGAAACAGCGTGTTAATCTACGTAACAAGCTTGTGTAAATAGATGGTAAGGAGGGGGAGTGATGTTGAAAAGACAAATCTTACAAACGGCTACAGAGAATAGGATGTTGTGGAGAGCCATGAAGAGATACAGCAAACAGAAGAAGAATTATTCCCTTGCAGTTTAGTAAACCAAGTTCATTGATTTATATTTATAAGAAAAATCCCCACAGGAAAGAAACATTTTCCCACGTAAAGAAGAAGAAAGGGAGAAAGAAGAAAATAAGAAAACAAAAAGAACTGAAGAAATAGAGAAAGAAGAAGGTGAAAAAAAAAAAGAAAGATGTAAAGCAGAAAAAATAAAAAAAGATGAAAAAAAATAAAACGAAGAAAAAAAGAAAGAAAATAAAATTAAAAAAAAGAATGAATGAGAAAGAGGGAAAGAAAAGAAAATAAAAGAATGAAGTAAAAGAAAGGAAGGAAATACAAGAAAAAAAGAACAGAAAAGAAAACAAAAAAAACAAAAGAATAAATAAAGCAACAGAAAAAAAAACAAATGAAAAAAGAAAAAGAAACGAGATGAAAAAGACAAAAAGAAATAATGAAGACCAAGACACAAGATGAAACAAGAAGGAAAAAGAAACACAAAAAAGAAAAAAAAACACAAATAATTCAAAAAGAAACAAAAAGAACATAAAATAGAAAAGAGGAAAACACAAGAAGAAAAATAAAAATAAATGGAAAAACAGAAGAAATGAAGGAGCAAGGGGAAGAAAAAATCGAAGAAAAAAAAAAGAAAAAAAAGAGGGACGTAAAAAATTCCATAGTTGCTACAAATAAAAAAAATACTTTCGACTTCGTCAGTGTCAACCGCTGTCAATAAAATATACTCAATCTTTAAAACATATCAAATATTAATAATCGGCCAAATTCTTCGTCTTTGTATAATGATGGAAATAATATCCCATTTCATAGTGGTGGGTACAGTTCCGTGGCACAGGTCTTGCCCAAACAAAAAGGACACTTTCTTAATGCCGTCATCGTAGGGAGTGTTCGACTGTAACATTACATCTGTGGTAAAGGTTTCGGGTAAGCTCAATTAAAATAACAGACTTGATTTACTTCCACAACACACGAACAAGGCAGTTTTGTTTTCTTACGCAGATTTTCGTAGACTTGGACGCGTGCGCATGTGTATCTTTGCGCATGCGTGCGTTTTCTTAGTACGCGTATATAAACAGAGTTGGAATGGTCATCAAGAAATGCCTGATGAATGAAATCGAGCTGATAATAGAGAGAAAACAAAGTAGGACAGAGAATACTGTCCTTTTAGAATCTGGAAATTTGGTAGAATCGACAGGCAATATTTTAAACTGGAGAACGTTCCACAAACGTCATTCCTTCTACTATCTAATTTGATTTACATCTATCTATCTTTCTCAGTCTGTTCATATCTGTCTATCTATCTATCTATCTATCTATCTATGTCTGATCATATTAACGCAGTTCATATGTATCTATCCATCTTAGACTGTTTATATCTATTTAATCTACTGATATTAACACTGTTCATATCTAAGTGTGATCATATCTAAGTCTGTTCATATCTCTCTCTCTCTCTTTTATATATATATATATATATATATATATATATATATATAATGTCTCTCTCTCAATCTCTCTCTCTCTATATATATATATATATAATGTCTCTCTCTCAATCTCTCTCTCTCTCTATATATATATATATATAATGTCTCTCTCTCTCAATCTCTCTCTCTCTCTCTATATATATATATGTCTCTCTCTTAATCTCTCTCTCTCTATATATATATATATAATGTCTCTCTCTCTCTCTCTATATATATATATATATATAAAGTCTGTTCATATCTATTAAAATATTTATGTCTGTTCATATCTATCAATCTAATTTTGTTTATATCTATCTCAGTCTTTTTTATCAGTCTATCTCAGGCTGTTCTGATCTATCTCAGTCTGTTATTATCTATCTATCTATCTATCTACCTAAGTCTGTTCATATCTATTTACCTAAGTCTATTAATGTTTATCTAAGTCTGTTAATATCTTTCTATCTACCTATCTATCTACCTAAGGCTGTTCATATCTATTTATCTACCTAAGTCTGTTAATATCTATCTATCTATCTATCTATCTACACCGAGGCGCACACATACTTCGATCTATCCCAACACGTGCGATCAGCTGTCTATAGTGGCACGAATCTGAATCTCATTTCATCTTGAACACCGATGCAGTTTCTTCCCCGACCTTTCTTTCTTTATTCTCTCTGTCTTTTCTTTTAAGTTATCAAATAACTCCCCTTTGACCTCTGCATTATGCGTCATCTTCACACATCACATGAACTCTCCTGCCTCGGCTTGATTCAGTTCTAATCTTCACGCGATTACTTTCCTCATTCCAATCTTTATCCGTCTTCTTCTCCGGCCAACAAATTCTTTTTTATGCGTCGAAACGTCTTCGTTCTTTCATAATTTCTCTTCTTTATAGAAATTTGACAACTTAATGTCAGATTTTGTTTCCTCCCTTTCTTCCGTTAGGTTTGTTTTCTTTATTATTTTCTCTGCAAATTGACATTTTTAACCATTTACTTCTTTCTTAACGGATCTATCCATCAGTCAGCAAATTCGTGGTAGAGTGGTTAGCGCTATCCTCGCGAGGCAAGCGTGGCAAGTTCAAATCTGTTTCGAACCCTGAGCGTTTTAAAGATGAGAAAATCATATTCAATAAACTAGGCTCCAAATGCAGATAGACCGACACCTATGCTTTATAGATTATGCAAAAGCATTTGGTAAGTAAGGTACGACGCAAAGATCTATTTGAACTGTTAGGGAAGCTTTGTTTATTTGAAAAGATATTAGAATAACTCCGAACTGACGCTGGGAGCAAAGCACTTGGAAAATGAATTTAGCAAATACGCAATAACAGAAATTGTCATAAGACAAGGATGGCTCTTCTCACCAGACTAATTCATCATTTATAGCCAAGCAATTCTGAAACCCCCCCCCAAAAAAAAACTAGAAGTCCTACCAGGATTTGTTATTAGCGTGTACAATCTTAACAACATAAGATATGCAAATGACAGTGTTGATAGCAGACATAGAAAGGTAAGTGCAGGAAACAGTAGTGAAGGTAGTAATAGAAAGCGAGAGGAATTGACTAATCATAGAAGAAGATAGAATATCAGAACGAACAGAGTGAGGTTTCCAAGCTGCCGTCCCTTCGTAATTATCATTAGACTCACCCAACTCTCTCCGAATTCTCATTACTGTCCTCATATGGATGCCCAAACACTCTGAAATGTTTGTATTGGAGCTTCCGGCGCGAATGCCAAGCAGTACAGCATGCTGTTTCCAAATTTCTGACATCATGTCGCTTTTTTCTCATAAATGGTGCCCAACTAACCCTACTATACTCTGCAATCGACAAAATCAAAACCAATAACGCGCATGCGCGAAATTACAAATATAAAATGCCGACAATTTACCCATCGCATCCAGTATATAGTGAGAGAGAGAGAGATAGACAGACAGACAGACAGAGATGGAGTTAGACAGTTCCTTTATACAACAAATTATTTTTCGCAAGTTAATTCTATATTTTTTTTACCCACCCCACACCGATGGTAAGTTTGACATAAGGTCACAACGTGGACCGCAACACGCGTAACTACGGTTGGTACCATAGGTTATCCAAATTCCTCGGTGAGTCGAGTGACCTTGACTCTCTCCCTTTTAAGTGCAACAGTCAAGGTGCGGCCGGCAAAAGGTGACGGACCACCACCCTCCCACCTGGAACTCTAATTAGGTTAATTTCCGTTAGGAAGACAGAAAGAAATCGAGTAACTGTTGAACCGCCCTGTGTGTGCGTGTACACACATACACACACACAGACATATATATATATATATATATATATATATATATATATATATATATATGTGTGTGTGTAGAGAGAGAGAGAGAGAAATAATGATAGGAGACAGAAACGGATAGAGATGAACAAACTGGGCTCGATTGATATAATAAATATGAACAGATTTAGGTAGATATGAACACAGACATGAATAGGCTTAGATATGAAGACTGAGGAAGATAGATAAGAACAGGCTGAGGTAGATATGACCACACTGAGATAGATAGATAGATAGATAGATAGATAGATAGATAGATAGATAGATAGATAGATAGATAATTAATTTTCCAGTTGAGAAAGAACCAGCCTGCTTATCCGTATAGTTTTTTTAACCACCCTGAACTGATATATATATATATATATATATATATATATATATATATATATATATATATATATATATCATAGTGTTGGTTACAATAAAGGAATAATGACTGCTAAAATCCGTCCATGAATTTATAGAAAAATCCTACAGATGCATGCTGAGATCAATAAAAATGTACAAATCTCGGTGTCATCCCATTCATTTTTGGCCTTTTCACCTTTGCTATAACGACTTGACAATATCCCCCTTTGCGTGTAAAGACAATTCTTTGTGAACCTTTTGCGTTATTATTGCCTTTTTTTTTAACTTGCATTATATATGTTTCCACCAACATGTCACTCAGTCTAGCCAATTTGATCTAACAACTGGACAATTTTGTTGTTACACCATATATACTCGACTGTCCCGTCGAATTTGACGTATGAGGGTCAAGCAGATCGGTTCCTAGGAAAAACCGACAGCCTGACAATAACACATGAGATTTGATTATAGAAGATTTCGTGCAGTACCATCCACACAGAGACCTGGTGCACTACGTCCCCAAACGACCCTCCGGAGATTTTGAATTGAAAGTTGTCCTTCTCCTAGACCAGTTGCCAGCCAAGGCTATAGAACGCAGTCTGTCTTGCTATTTACCCATAGCTGGCGCGAGAAGAAGAGGATCCATACTATTTCCAAGAGTATTAGCACGTAAGTGAATATAATGGATTCGACTGGAATTCGAACTCGGCTCTCCAATTCCTCAATCAAAGCCGCTATCCATTACGACACTGACACTATATATATATATATATATATATATATATATATATATATATATATATATATATATGGTACAGGTAATAGATCCGTTGGTGTATAATCCAGGTGGATCCTAGTAATATCAAATATCAAAACTCATCCACAAAGAGAGCTCAATGTATTTATTATAATAGAGCATATATATTACACAGCAAAAAATCCAAAATTACTTAATGTGGGTATAGTCTATTTCAACCAGCGCAACCTTGCGCCAGTATTCTTCAATCCGGGATTGAATTCGTCTCGGAATCCGATAGAATTCAGTCCAGGGTTGAAGAAAGAAAACTCTGAATTCCAAAACTAGGATTGTGTAAGGAGTTGACATCTGTAATGTGTCTATGTATTTTTTTTCTTCTTTTTTTTTTTAATCGGTACCACCCCATGCAAAGAAGTAAATCCACTAAAACTCAAGAGGTTACAGGGTGTGGAAGAATTAGAAACAGAAACATTAGTAATAAGTAGAAAGAGAAAACAGCCACCAGGATGACAGTTGATAGCGATTGACATTGCGTTTAAATTTTTGCAGATTAAAGTTGGCTGGAAAACATGGAGCCGGGAGGGAGTTCCACAGGCGAGAGGATCGAGAAAAAAAAAACTGTTAACAGAATTTACTCTTCCGAACAATTATGAAAGTATTTTTTTTTAAAAAGCACAGAGAAGCAACCTTACGGAAGTGGGAAAATGACTGAAACCGAGCCGACAGATCAGGACTTATAATATTGCTGATTCTTCTTTGGATTTTATCGAAGTGCTCTATGTAATTCATGTTGGTAGGTAGGTGTGAGTGAGTGCCTGCGTGCGTGGGTGTGTGTGTTTAATGCATTTATATTGGCTGACTGAATCACCATGCTTCGAGTTGCTTTACTGCGAGGCGATGTTCCAATCAAGACAATGATCCTTGTGTCTGTGTGTTCGCTCCTTCAAACATTAACGTCCTGGATGTCATTATTTCAAATAACACTTTTGCTCATGTATCCGCTGCATTGTTAAAATGGATAAATGATTGCAGTCGACAATTATAAATACAGTCATTTTGTTTGCGTGTATAAATTTCCTATCTTTTTGAAGATGACCTTGTATCGGACGTTAAACCAGAAACCACAAGAAGCGTCTACTAGTGGCTCGGGCTTCACATTTGAATTGACAAAGAAATTACATAGCAAAAAAATCTTGCGATACATATAGGCCTGTTAATATCTACCTATTTATCCCAGTCTGTCCAAACCTATTTATCTTAGCCTGTCCAGATCTATCTATCTATCTATCTATCTATTTATCTATCTATCCCAGTCTGTCCAAACCTATTTATCTTAGCCTGTCCAGATCTATCTATCTATCTATCTATCTATCTATCTATCCCAGTCTGTCCAAACCTATTTATCTTAGCCTGTCCAGATCTATCTATCTATCTATCTATCTATCTATCTATCCCAGTCTGTCCAAACCTATTTATCTTAGCCTGTCCAGATCTATCTATCTATCTATCTATCTATCTATCTATCTATCTATCCCAGTCCGTCCAAACCTATTTATCTTAGCCTGTCCAGGTCTATCTATCTATCTATCTATCTATCTATCTATCTATCTATCCCAGTCCGTCCAAACCTATTTATCTTAGCCTGTCCAGATCTATCTATCTATCTATCTATCTATCCCAGTCTGTCCAAACCTATTTATCTTAGCCTGTCCAGATCTATCTATCTATCTATCCCAGTCCGTCCAAACCTATTTATCTTAGCCTGTCCAGATCTATCTATCTATCTATCCCAGTCCGTCCAAACTATTTATCCCAGTCCTGTCCAAATCTCTATTTATCTTCTATCCCAGTCTGTCCAAACCTATTTATCTTAGCCTGTCCAGATCTATCTATCTATCTATCTATCTATCTATCTATCTATCCCAGTCCGTCCAAACCTATTTATCTTAGCCTGTCCAGATCTATCTATCTATCTATCTATCCCAGTCCGTCCAAACCTATTTATCTTAGCCTGTCCAGATCTATCTATCTATCTATCCCAGTCCGTCCAAACCTATTTATCTTAGCCTGTCCAGATCTATCTATCTATCTATCTATCCTAGTCCGTCCAAACCTATTTATCTTAGCCTGTCCAGATCTATCTATCTATCCCAGTCCGTCCAAACCTATTTATCTTAGCCTGTCCAGATCTATCTATCTATCTATCCCAGTCCGTCCAAACCTATTTATCTTAGCCTGTCCAGATCTATCTATCTATCCCAGTCCGTCCAAACCTATTTATCTTAGCCTGTCCAGATCTATCTATCTATCTATCTATCTATCTATCCCAGTCCGTCCAAACCTATTTATCTTAGCCTGTCCAGATCTATCTATCTATCTATCTATCTATCTATCTATCCCAGTCCGTCAAAACCTATTTATCTTAGCCTGTCCAGATCTATATATCTATCTATGTCTGCTGAGATCAATTAATCTATCTATTTCTCTCACTATATATTAGTTTGATTTGTTTTGTTATAATCTATCTATCTATGTTCATTACCGATCTATTTTTGTTTATTATCTATCTTGGTTCATTATCTATGTGTAGCTTTGTTCATTACCTATCTATCTATCTATGTTCATTATCTTTCTGCCAATCTTTATTCATTATCTGTCTACCTATCTATCTATGTTCATTATCTATCAATCTAAGTTCATTATCTATCTTTGTTCATTATCTATCTAGCTGGCTAGCCAAGTCTATTCATCATTTATCTGTTTAAGTTACTTCATTATCTGTTTATCTTTTTATCTAAGTTCATTTTCTATCTATCTATTCCTCTTGTCGAAGGATTGTCAATCGAAACACTTTTCAAATCTAAGAAGAGGACATTTAGCCAAGTGTCAAAATGCAGATGAAGTTCAGTCATATGTATAACGCTGAAACAATTACGAAATGCAAATTCAAACTAGTAAGAATATTATCATATCATATATCATATAATAATAATAATAATAATAATGTTATTTTCCAGTGCACTATATATTTTTTGTGATCATCGTCATCGTATTATCCATGGGCTGGCACACCGACTCTGCTAAATGATTGACTGACAGTGGCCTTTTATCTACGTCTTATGTTTATTCATGGCGATACAAAAGATCAACAAAGCAATCAGCGGAAGAGTGAAAGAAAACGAAAGGAGAGAGAAAGAGAGAGAGAGAGAGAGGGAGAGAGAGAGAGAGAAAGTAAGTAAGTAGTGTGGTGATTGCAACGGCAGGAGATCGATCGACAAATTATAAATGATTATGATGATCAATACGGCTGGCTTTTATGTATGGCTGATGCTTTGCTGTAATTGAGCCTGACTGTATATTGATTGGCTACACACACAGACACACTGTGTATGTGTGTGTGTGTGTATATATTATATATATATATATATATATATATAGATAGATGCGATCTTCAGACCAAGTGTACTACTACTCTTTGTAGGTCATGGGAATCAAGGGAAGTGGGAAAAGAGAATATTGGTCTTTCGCAGTTTCCGTCTGACGCTGTGTATTATTTACGGGCATGACCTCGCAAATGATTGTTTATTCTGATTGGGTGGTTTGGAAGAAGTGTATCTATCAAAAGGTTAGATTTATTAACAGTCATGACTTCCAGGACACTGATATATATATATATATATATATATATATATATATATATATATATATATATATATATATATATATATATATATGTGTGTGTGTGTGTGTGGTGAAAAGAATGGATATATCTATTTGCTGTTACGCGCAATACCTTTGTTAGTAAGAGATACTGTTTGTAACTGTTCAATGGAAAATTATAATTAAAAGCATTATCCTCCAAAAATACTTTGGCCGACAGTTTTTACACACTCTTTCTATCTATCTATCTATCTATCTATCTATCTGTCTTCTGTTTTTTTTTTATTATTATTAATCAGTGAAATTAATGACCGGATGAGTAGGACTTTTCAATTTAGGCCGATTGTTATTAATTTCAAGGTTTAATACAATAAAAAACCAAAAAACAAAACAGGGATAGCAAAGGAAACATGTGTACGCAATAAAAATTACCTTATAGCAATAAGAAACATCGGAGGTCCGGTGGAGTAATGGATAACGGCTCAGACTGAGGAATCGGAGAGCCGAGTTCGAATTCTTGGGAAAGGTAATAATCTTTTCCTTCTGCCCCCTGGGTAAATAGCAGGACAGACTGGGTTCTATTGGCTCGGAAAATTTGATACTTACAGGACAGATTGAAGACAAGAGGGACAGAGAAAAACAACGCCTAATAACATATCTAATGAGCTTGAGAAAATGGATGGCAGATCAAGGTTCAGGAGAGATAACAAAAAGACAAAATTTATTAAGAGCTACAAAGGACAGGAAATTTTGGAGAGCCATGATTACCAATATCCTGAAGGGACATGACACATAGAAGAATATATATATATATATATATATATATATATATATATATGAGAGGCACGGTGGAGTAATGGATAGCGGCTGTGATTGAGGAATCGGGGTGCTGACCGAATCCATTATATTCACTTACGTGCTAATAGAGGGATTGTGGTGCGGAGAAGAGGATTCAATATTTATCAATATCAATTCATAAAAATCGTCTGGGGATATCGTAAGGTTGAAATCAAGGTAGTGAATGCAACTGATCTAATTTTTTAAGTTAAAAGCTCTACATTTTATTTTATTTTATTTTTCACACGATCCTTGAGTACTTTTTAATACCACTGTTCCCTGCGGCTCTAAACATCTGAACTTTATCGTATGTGTGCAGTGTCGGATTTACGTATAGGCTTAGCAGGCTGTAGGCTCGGGCCTAAAAATGAAGAGGTCCTCCAGTCAAGGTGCATAATATTTCTGAAACTGTCACAGGCCCCTTCTTACACATGCGGTCATGACGCATTGTAGACTCGAACCAACTTTTCATTAATTTTAAACGCCCGCCATCATCCTCGGCTTTACTCAAATTGTTTAATTTTAATACTCTTCCGTTTCCCCCTGTTTGGAGCACTTGGAGGGGCCTTTCAAGTGAAATAGCTTAGGGCCTCTCTTCATCTAAATCCGGCCCTGTATGTGGCTTTTACATTTAGTTTGGTCACCCCTGATATATATCCATAAAATAATTAGCCATCATCGTTTTTTTCTTTCTTATTTGTATCGTATCTAACCTTTAAAATTAAGTTAACAGTAACACGTAATGTTTGGGTACAATAGCCATAAACTGTGAACACGTTCGTTTGTTTTTCGTTTCGTTCTCGTTTAAGATTTCTATTTTTAACTGGGCCCACTGACTTTAAATGAGATTTTCAAGATAACGACTCTCAATAGAATAAAATAAATAAACATAATAAGTAAATAAACACAAATAATATAATACGTTTCTTTCTTTCTTTCTTTCTTTCTTTCTTTCTTTCTTAGGATCTTATCAAACAGACAAAAGAGAATAGGAAAAAAAAAAAACAACTAAAAAATCGAAACAAAATGAAAGAATAACAAACGAAAAGAAGCCAAAATACAAAGTTTTAAGGCAAGGGGAAAAAGATGAACGACATGAGTGCAATGCAACTATTTTTTTTTACGTAAGAAAAAGAAAGGAGAGCTTAGGTTACAAAATGAAAGATCAACACAGCACAACACTGAGTCAGGAAAAGAAAACAAACGCGTACAAGCACACACGTACATAGGCAGAGTAATAAATAAGTAATCATACAAAAACACAGGCACTCAAATAATAAATAAATGATCGCTCTCAACAATACAAGGATGTTCACATATGCACATATACATGAATTCACACACACACACACACACACACACAGGAGTGATAACAAATAATATAAAATAAATACATAAACAAACTAGTTCGAGAATTCAACAAATCCATTTCGAGATAGATATATTTGGACAGACTAGGATAGATAGATAGATAGATAGATAGATAGATAGATAGATAGATAAGGCTGTGATAGATAGATAGATTTGAACAGAGATAGATAGATAAGGCTGTGATAGATAGATTCGAACAGAGATAGATAGATTTGAACAGAGATAGGTAAATAGATAGATAAGGCTGTGATAGATAGATAGATAGATAGATAAATAGATAGATAAATAGATAGATAGATAAATAGATAAGGCTGTGATGGATAGGTAGATAGATAAGGCTGTGATAGAAAGATAGATAGATAGATATATAGATAAGGTTGTGATAGATAGATAGATAGATAGATAGATAGATAGATAGATAGATAAGGCTGTGATTGATAGATAGATAGATAGATAGATAGATAGATAGATAGATAGATAGATAAGGCTGTGATAGATAGATAGATAGATAGATAGACAGATAAGGCTGTGACAGATAGATAGATAGATAGATAGATAGATAGATAGATAGATAGATAAAGCTGTGATAGATAGATAGATAGATAGATAGATAGATAGATAAGGCTGTGATAGATAGATAAATAGATTTGAACAGAGTTTGATAGAAAATCGTAAGGAAATCCAGAAATCCAGGTATCGTGCGCGTTAGAAAAAGAGACAGGTCAGAATTAACGTGTTTGTGAGGGAGAGGGAGAAAGAGGTGCGAAGAAGCGTAAGGCCGAAGAATTAAGGAAGAAAGAAGGAAGAGGAGGATAAGAGGAATGAGAACCAGGGGGGAGGTAGAAAGAGAAAAATAGGGATAAAAGAAAAAGCGTGTAAAAAGGGAGTTAGATCATGACCAAGAGAGTGGAGAGTTTGAGGAATGAAAATGTGTGTGTGTAGCAGAGAGAGAAAGAGAGAGAAAAGTTAAACAAGAGAAAACAAATAAAAGTGAGAGAGAAAGACACACAGACAGCAGACAGACAGACAGACAGAGAGCGAGGTAGGAAAAGTGAAATGAACTGTCCCCCAAAACAGAATGAAAATAAATCTACTTAAATGAACCGTAAGAAAAAAGATATGAACAGGCTTACAGATAAATACTGGACTTAGATAGATAGATAGATAGATAGATAGATAGATAGATAGATAGATAGATAGATAGATAGATAGATAGACAGACATGAAGAGACGGAGATAGATAGATAGATAGATAGATAGATAGATAGATAGATAAGGCTGTGATAGATAGATAGATAGATAAGGCTGTGATGGATAGATAGATAGATAGATAGATAGATAGATAGATAGATAGATAAGGTTGTGATAGATAGATAGATAGATAGATAGATAGATAGATAGATAGATAGATAGATAAGGCTGTGATAGATAGATAGATAGATAGATAAGGCTGTGATGGATAGATAGATAGATGGATAGATAGATAGATAGATAGATAGATAGATAGATAGATAGATAATAGATAGATAGATAGATAGATAGATAGATAGATAGATAGACAGATAAGGCTGTGACAGATAGATAGATAGATAGATAGATAGATAGATAGATAAAGCTGTGATAGATAGATAGATAGATAGATAGATAGATAGATAGATAGATAGATAGATAAGGCTGTGATAGATAGATAAATAGATTTGAACAGAGTTTGATAGAAAATCGTAAGGAAATCCAGAAATCCAGGTATCGTGCGCGTTAGAAAAAGAGACAGGTCAGAATTAACGTGTTTGTGAGGGAGAGGGAGAAAGAGGTGCGAAGAAGCGTAAGGCCGAAGAATTAAGGAAGAAAGAAGGAAGAGGAGTGATAAGAGGAATGAGAACCAGGGGGAGGTAGAAAGAGAAAATAGGGATAAAAGAAAAGCGTGTAAAAGGGAGTTAGATCATGACCAAGAGAGTGGAGAGTTTGAGTGAATGAAAAATGTGTGTGTGTAGCAGAGAGAGAAAGAGAGAGAAAGTTAAACAAGAGAAAACAAATAAAAGTGAGAGAGAAAAACACACAGACAGCAGACAGACAGACAGACAGAGAGCGAGGTAGGAAAAGTGAAATGAACTGTCCCCCAAAACAGAATGAAAATAAATCTACTTAAATGAACCGTAAGAAAAAAGATATGAACAGGCTTACAGATAAATACTGGACTTAGATAGATAGATAGATAGATAGATAGATAGATAGATAGATAGATAGATAGATAGATAGACAGACATGAAGAGACGGAGATAGATAGATAGATAGATAGATAGATAGATAGATAGATAGATAAGGCTGTGATAGATAGATAGATAGATAAGGCTGTGATGGATAGATAGATAGATAGATAGATAGATAGATAGATAGATAGATAGATAAGGTTGTGATAGATAGATAGATAGATAGATAGATAGATAGATAGATAGATAGATAGATAGATAAGGCTTTGATAGATAGATAGATAGATAGATAGATAAGGCTGTGATGGATAGATAGATAGATAGATAGATAGATAGATAGATAGATAAGGCTGTGATGGATAGATAGATAGATAGATAGATAGATAGATAGATAGATAGATAGATAGATAAGGTTGTGATAGATAGATAGATAGATAGATAGATAGATAGATAGATAGATAGATAGATAGATAGATAAGGCTGTGATAGATAGATAGATAGATAGATAGATAATTAGATAAGGCTGTGATAGATAGATAGATAGATAGATAGATAATTAGATAAGGCTGTGATAGATAGATAGATAAATAAAGGCTGTGATAGATAGAGAAATAGATAAGGCTGTGATAGATAGATAGATAGATAGATAGATAGCCTGAGATCGGCAACTTTTCATTCTATTTAGCAAATTTAAATATTTGAACGTTTTTTTTTTGTTTTTTTTTTTAAGAATAGCAGTATCTTGAATAATATCAAGCGATCTTATCTAAGTCGGGCGAATTTTATGAGAAAATACATTTGAATAAATAAGGAGACTTTCTACTTTGGAGTGAGAATAAAGAAAACCTCTTTAACCTTTTTAAGTATCGCAAACATGAGATCCTTCTGAATCATCGAATATCGGACGAGTGAAGCGTAGCATTACCAATACTCGATTGTGATGGGAAACATGTGTCATAAAACTAACGGGGAAAAAAAATCAACAAACCCCCAGATGTCTTACGTCCTAGGTATGACGATGAACTACATCCGGCAACAAGGCCACTGATCAGGAAGTTTTGAGGAGCGTGGAACCACCACTTAATTGAAATTGTTCCCAGGTCCACCCTAACCCGGGGTGGGAGCACCTGTTAGGGGGGGGGTCCCAGCTATGGACAAATAGTTTACCCCTAAACTGGGCTCAAAACCCTATGAAGTATAGAAATAGATTTTTATAGTAAAAATACCAGCAATACATTTAAAAAAAAAATATCACCAGTAATATATTAAAAACATTACCAGCAATAGATTTTTGAAAAAATAAAAAATGATATTACCAGCAATAGATTTTTTAAATAATATTTTTTTTATCAGCAATAGATTTTTGAAATAATAAAAAAAAATCTTTTTCCAGCAATAGATTTTGGAAATAATAAAAAATATTACCAGTAATACATTCAAAAAAAAATACCAGCCAAACATTTAACTCTCAACAAAAACCCTCTTTACAAAAATACGACAATGAAACCTGATCTACAAACTGATTTCTTACAAAGCATACATATTCTATTCATACGAACCTATCCTAAAAATTTTGTCGGCATTAAATAACCCATTGTGGTTGATAAGCCATAAAACAAAATAAACCAATTCAGACGCCTTAACTGCTAACTTCATGAAAGTTACTCCGACAAACATCTTGTTGATTAACATTTCATATAACCTACGTTGTTATATTTTTATTACTTTTATTTATTGTTACTTTTCATTATACATAATAGATAACTTCGCCTATCGCTCGGTTCACATTCCTCTCCTGTTGAACAGGAGTAGAGGTTTATCCCTTGTTTCCTGCTTCCGATTCGTCTAGGAAGCTGTGGAGAGCCACGGTGATGCATGTCCTGAAGGGAAGCGGTACATAAGATCTTATTTGCAGTTTGTGGGAGAGGACGCTTCATTTAGCGTGATCAATCGTTTTGAACAAGGCCAGAATCGCTCAAAGATTCGATCACGATTCCTTGTGATTTCTTGGCTGCCCAACAACTATTGACGGCTCACGAACAATTTTGTCTAGCCAATTTCAACCACGTGGGACAACCCGTGGGTATGCTTTTCAGACACTTCACCCACAGTGATGCCTGCCGGGTTCGTCTCCCCAGGCACCGCCTTGGCAATTCGAACCTCGGTCTCATGGTCGACTATTTACAGAATGATGTATATATATATGATGTATATATATATATATATATATGTATATATCCGCATATAAACAATTTTTTTGCCTTGTTCACTATTTTTTGTCAGTACACTTACGCGATACACCGCGAACAACTGCAGTATGCATACGCAGTTATGTGCCATGCGGGATATATGCTTAAGCGATCATGTATCTTTCGATACATGACTGACGAGGCAGTTTTTTTCCCCGCAGTAGGTTGCCATTTCTTTCTGCGATAGACCAGTTGCCATCCAAGGCTATAGAACCCGGTCTCTTCTGCTATTCACTCATAGCTAGAGAAGGGGGAAGAAGAGGATTCATACCTTTCCCGAGGGTCAGTCAGTTATGTGCCATGCGTGATACACACACACACACACACACACACACACACACACACACACACACACACACACACACACACACACACATATATATATATATATATATATAATTAAACCTAAAGAGCCAGATAAACCTACCAAGGTTTCACCTACGCGGATCGTCAGGAAATACTGGCTAATATACATATATACGCACACAACATAAAAATAAAATACAACTTAAATATCAAAACATGAAAAGAAATTAGGTGCCATGCGTAGTAAACGTTTAGGCGATCATGTATCTTATGACTGACGAGGCAGATTTTTTTCCCGCAGTAGGTTGTCATTTCTTTCTGCGATAGACATGTTGCCATATTTCCCAAGGGTATTAGCACGTAAGTGAATGCAATGGATTCGACTGGAATTCGAAACAACACTAAAAGAACTGTCAGTAAAATTCCATCATTACCCGTAAAACATTGAAGAGCTTGAAAGATTTGCAGACACTTCATGAGTTAGAACTGGACATGGACCTTTGAGGAGGAGGAGGACGACGATACGAGTTATTTATAAACTTAACGAAGTTGAGAAGCCACAATGATTTGTAATGATCTTTTAAGTCGAAACTGCTTTCATGGGCATGAGAATAAGTTAAAATAAATTAAAAACTAAAAACAATGTGCTGCTTTAAAAAGACGGATTTTTATACAAAAAAAAATATTTTCCTACTCATATCCATATTCTTAAGGGAAGGGTACTCAATATCAGAGATAGAGCCTTTATTGGTATAGAAGATATGGACATATGAATCAATCCTGCATGCTAAATGTCAGTTTTATGCTTCAATGTGGGCTTCAAGCCAAGTTGGTCTAAAGATTCATTGAGGCATAGTCACCATGCAATGTTGACTGCTATCTATCTATCTATCTATCTATCACATTCTGTTCACATCTATATATCTATCAATCTATGTCAATCAGCTCATTATCTATCTATCTATCTATCTATCTAATCTAGTTCAATTTCTATCTGTTTTTCTCTCTCCGTCTGCTATCTATCTATCTATCTATCTATCTATCTATCTATCTAATCTTGTTCAATTCCTACCTGTTTTTCTCTCTCAGTCTGCTATCTATCTATCTATTTCAGTCTGTTGATATCTATTCCATTTTATGACCTATTTATTTGTCTATACATCTATCTATCTAATCGTGTTCAATTTCTATCTGTTTTTCTCTCTCAGTCTGCTATCTCTCTCTCTCTCTCTCTCTCTATATATATATATATATATATTTATCTCAGTCTGCTGATATCAACTTCAATTTCTAATCTATTTATCTATCTGATCTTGTTTAACTTTTATCTATCTACGCAATTCTGGTCAATTCGTTTGTTTGTTTCTTTCTTTCTAATCTTGTTCAATTTGTATATATATATATATATATATATATATATATATATATATATATATATCAGATTCTACGCGCTTTATCTGTCTTCTAATACCTACTATCCGTCAGTACCCATGAATGACTGTGTGTGCACACATATGTAGATAAATTATTTGTAAATTAATTATTAAGAGATGCATTTAATTAACGTATGATTCAATACTTATTACTCCGATGAGTGTCTAGTATCTGTGTCTTCCAGCCAGGGTTAAATTGTCGCACTTTGGTCATCTATCAGTGATTGGTATCGCATCTGTGTGCTGTCCTAATTTAGTACTTCTGAGTTTTTAAAAGACTACCACCATACAAGTAATATAATGTTGGCAGGCTGGATATGTCATATGTTCGCTTAACGTCGAATCCCACGTTGGAATCAGCACACTAGTTTATAAATCTATTTGTTTTAGAGTGACAGAAGTTCTGGTCCGAAAAAAAAAAGTTATAGTCTTCAGTATAGAGACAGATATGGCATTAATTCAACACACATCTGTCCAGTCTTCAATTTCCAGTCTCGATAGAGTGTAAAAAGTGTCTCCGCCTGCTTGTGGGTGATGAATTATTTTCCACTCTCCAACCCCCTTCTCACAAGCGAGACGTCGCAAGTCTCTCACTGCTCTATCGCTATTTCTATGTAGAATGTTCTTAAACTTCACTGCGTAGACACCCCCCCTCCACCATGTCACGTACAGTGTAGCGAACCGCCCTTATTCCTTTCGCGAGATGTAAGCTTCTTCTCACAAATCACTGCTTTGGAGAACCGACTCCCAAAAGGTCACTTCCTTGACCACTATTTTCTTAATCTTTTCAAATCTAGGGTTAACCGTCATCTTCTGCACACATCAGTATAAGATGTGCCTCTTACTCTGTAACCCTCTACCTCGAGTGACCCTCAGGACTTGTACAGTGTGAACATCACTGTAATAAAGAAGGCGGAATAGTTATAATGGACACCAATGTCTACAGGGAATCGCTCTTAGATAGCGGTAACACTTAAATAAAAACCAATGAACAAACAGTAAACATAGTCGCACAAAGGCTCAACAAAAAGTTAAGAAAATATTAAAAAATGAAAACAAATCCTGGACCAGATTAACAGAATACCACCCCACCACACGCACACTATACGGCTTAGCCCAAACATAAAATACCTGACATACCAATCAGACCCATTGTGTCCGGTATCAACAGTGCACTAGACCAATTCGCTGGAGCCATTGCAAAAGTCCTAACTGCGTTCTGAAGAGCCATCAACACAACACATATCAAACACCCAGAGAATACGAAACATGAATATGGAAAACAGTCATGGTGAGCCTAAAGATTAAATCATTATACACCATTATTACTCCTCACGAAATGTCTCAAAATATTGAAAAACCACTTCAAAAAGTCCAAAGAAACGCCTCCTCTTCCCGTCCACAAAGTTATAAAAATATGCAAACTAATCACTAACCACTTCTCTTTCAACAATGTTCTCTACAAGCAAAAATTTGGTTTACCTATGGGTTCACCTATCAGCGGTGTCCTCGCCTGCCTTTTTCTAGAGTTCTTAGAATCCGATTCATTCAGACAAATCGTACCAAACAGTTCTACATACCTAGTATATATAGATATATGCGCAATCCGGAAGACCAAAATGACGACGAGGGATACATTGAGAAAACTTTCAAACTTCGCTACTACTCAGATCATTTTATCCTGAACGATAAAAAACGAGCTTACAAAATCCACAAAGCAAAAAAAAAAAAAAAAAAAAAAATCACAATCTTGCTCTCCAACACTCTTTCTACTGAACTTGCCAACGAATTTGTCGCCTCTAATGCTAGGATCGTTACTGCCAAATCCAAGACAATCGGATATATAAATAGGAAGAAAATAAATCCAACACCGATTCAAATGCCGGAATTTATCAAATAAATTGTTTACAATGCAAAAATGTTTATAAGGGAGAGACATCACGTGATCTAAAAGTTCGCATCTATGAACACAAGAGAGACTTGCGTTTGGACAATTGATCTAACACTCTCGTCTTGCATTGAAACGATGCTGGACATAACTTTGATTTCACTAATGCCACCCTAAATAGAAAAAAGTAAGGAGAAAATACACTGTAAACTTATTAATAAGATTATTGCCACTATAAACACACGCCTGAAACATTACATTACATTGCCATCTTTCTTTGAATTCTTTCTTTAAAGAACCTAACTTATATTTATCGAATACAGGAATACATTCTTAAAGAGGCGAGTCATAAAATTAGAGCCCTACGACTCCACTCTGCGAGGGTCGGACGCACAAAAGGAGACGATAAAAACCCAAACTAGTCAGACAAACGCATACAATCACAAATACACATTACCACTCGTTGTCCACTTAAACATACAAAATCTTCACAGAGCTACATACACTTTAGAATTATTCACAGTTTTAGTACGTGTCTGACCAATGAAAACTGACCCAATCATAATCAATGTACCAGTGTTTCTGTTTTTTTGCCTGTTTTCTCTCAATCTCTGACGAAGCTTTAATAAAAGTGAAACATGTTAGTTTTATATAGGTTCTTCTATTTATTCTTTATTTTATTATCCTGTCAGATTCCGATCCATATTTGATCTACATTTGATCTTTAACTTTAAAGGCGCATTGGAATAGCAAAAGATGCCTTCCAAAAGCTAAGTAATGTATTAAGAAACAGGAAAATTTAATTAGAAATAAAGAAAATAGCGCTGATAGTGAATGCTGAAAAGTTTCCTCACGGTTTGTTGGTTGTTTTTGTTCACCGAAATGTCAACTTCTGTGGGTTATTTAATGCCGAAATCTAATGGTTTTAGTGATACAAGTCTTAACATTAACCCATAGCTGGGGAAGAAGTGGTGGATTCATAACTTTCCAAAGGGTATTTACACATAAGTGAATATAAGGAAACCAAATGGAATTGGATTCTCTGATTAACAATTCCGAGTTATTATCCATTACATAACCCACCCGTCCAAGTACTTGATATTCTCAAGCAATCAGCCATCTAGGTACTAACCAGACTTGACGTTGCTTAACTTTAGGAAACAGAGATGTGACACTAAAGAAGGGTACTAAGAATACTATGAACGAGATATAAGAGCAACAAGGAAGTTTTAAGGGAAATTGAAACAAAGAGGGCACTTGTCTTTAGAAGCAAAAAGAGACGGAATTTTGGGATATGTAATAAGGAAGGAAGTCTTGGAGAATTTGACACTCACAAGGCAAGAGGAACAGAAGGAAACAGTAAGGTACATAACGAGCTTGCGAAAATGGGCAGAAAAGCAAGGCGTAGCTAGGTTAGTAAGAGAGACACATTTTGCTTAGAGTAACAGATTGGAAGTTGTGGAGAGCCATAAACAAGAATCGAATAGTTTGTTTCTGAAAAATATATGCTTTATTTTCTCCTATAGTGTTTTATAATAAAGAAAATAAAGATGACACTTTGACATGAGTAGATGTTAAATCATGCGAAGAAGATTCGTACTGAATCATCATTGAAGTTTCGACCAGTCTACAGGTCCGGCTTCAAATTTCCTGCGCTTATCCTTGGGTCTGCGCCCGAGTCGGTCACCGACTTCGCCTACTGGTATATCCGTCCTTGATTGTCGATAAAAGCAGCGCCTATTTAACGAGCTATTGTAAACAGATGACTGGGTCGCGAATGTTGCAACGAACAGTGTAGAGATCTACAAAAGAATTGGAAGTTAAAGAGAGCCATAATCGCTCACGTCCTGAAGTCTGTTCATTTTCTATCTATCTATCTATCTATAGATAGATAGATAGATAGATAGATCTATCTATCTATCTATCTAATTCTGTCCATTTTCTTCCTTTCTTTTTATCTAATTCTGTCCATTTTCTATCAATCTATCTATCATGTTCATTTTTTATCTATCAATCTATCTATCATGTTCATTATCTATCTATCAATCTATCTATCATGTTCATTATCTATCTATCAATCTATCTATCATGTTCATTATCTATCTATCTATCTATCTATCTATCATGTTCATTATCTATCATGTTCATTATCTATCTATCTATCTATCATGTTCATTATCTATCTATCAATCTATCTATCATGTTCATTATCTATCTATCTATCTATCTATCATGTTCATTATCTATCATGTTCATTATCTATCTATCAATCTATCTATCATGTTCATTATCTATCTATCAATCTATCTATCATGTTCATTATCTATCATCATTTCATTATCTATCTATCAATCTATCTATCATGTTCATTATTCATCTCATCAATCTATCTATCATGTTCATTATCTATCTATCTCCATCTATCTATCATGTTCATTATCTATCATGTTCATTATCTATCTATCAATCTATCTATCATGTTCATTATCTATCTATCAATCTATCTATCATGTTCATTATCTATCTATCTATCTATCATGTTCATTATCTATCATGTTCATTATCTATCTATCAATCTATCTATCATGTTCATTATCTATCTATCTATCTATCATGTTCATTATCTATCATGTTCATTATCTATCTATCAATCTATCTATCATGTTCATTATCTATCATCTATCTATTCATCTATCATGTTCATTATCTATCATGTTCATTATCTATCATCAATCTATCTATCATGTTCATTATCTATCTATCTATCTATCTATCATGTTCATTATCTATCATGTTCATTATCTATCTATCAATCTATCTATCATGTTCATTATCTATCTATCAATCTATCTATCATGTTCATTATCTATCTATCAATCTATCTATCATGTTCATTATCTATCTATCTATCTATCATGTTCATTATCTATCATGTTCATTATCTATCTATCAATCTATCTATCATGTTCATTATCTATCTATCTATCTATCATGTTCATTATCTATCATGTTCATTATCTATCTATCAATCTATCTATCATGTTCATTATCTATCTATCAATCTATCTATCATGTTCATTATCTATCTATCAATCTATCTATCATGTTCATTATCTATCTATCAATCCATCTATCATGTTCAATTATCTATCATGTTCATTATCTATCTATCAATCTATCTATCATGTTCATTATCTATCTATCTATCTATCATGTTCATTATCTATCATGTTCATTATCTATCTATCAATCTATCTATCATGTTCATTATCTATCTATCTATCTATCTATCTATCATGTTCATTATCTATCATGTTCATTATCTATCTATCAATCTATCTATCATGTTCATTATCTATCTATCTATCTATCTATCATGTTCATTATCTATCATGTTCATTATCTATCTATCAATCTATCTATCATGTTCATTATCTATCTATCTATCTATCATGTTCATTATCTATCATGTTCATTATCTATCTATCAATCTATCTATCTATCATGTTCATTATCTATCTATCAATCTATCTATCTATCATGTTCATTATCTATCTATCAATCTATCTATCATGTTCATTATCTATCTATCTATCATCATGTTCCATATCTATCATGTTCATTATCTATCTATCAATCTATCTATCATGTTCATTATCTATCTATCTATCTATCATGTTCATTATCTATCATGTTCATTATCTATCTATCAATCTATCTATCTATCATGTTCATTATCTATCTATCAATCTATCTATCATGTTCATTATCTATCTATCTATCTATCTATCATGTTCATTATCTATCATGTTCATTATCTATCTATCAATCTATCTATCATGTTCATTATCTATCTATCTATCTATCTATCATGTTCATTATCTATCATGTTCATTATCTATCTATCAATCTATCTATCATGTTCATTATCTATCTATCAATCTATCTATCATGTTCATTATCTATCTATCAATCTATCTATCATGTTCATTATCTATCTATCTATCTATCTATCATGTTCATTATCTATCATGTTCATTATCTATCTATCATGTTCATTATCTATCAATCTATCTATCATGTTCATTTTTTATCTATCAATCTATCATGTTCATTATCTATCTATCTATCATGTTCATTATCTATCTATCTATATATATATATATATATATATATATATATATATATATATATCATGTTCATTATCTATCTATCATGTTCATTATCTATCTATCTATCTTGTTCATTATCTATCTATCATGTTCATTATCTATCAATCTATCTATCATGTTCATTTTTTATCTATCTATCTATCATGTTCATTATCTATCTATCTATCTTGTTCATTATCTATCTATCTATCATGTTCATTATCTATCTATCTATCATGTTCATTATCTATCTATCTATCATGTTCATTATCTATCTATCTATCTATCTATCTATCATGTTCATTATCTATCTATCTATCTATCTATCTATCTATCTATCTGTCATGTTCATTTTCTATCTACAAAAGGATTGGAAGTTGGGGAGAACCATATTTGCCTACTTCCTGAAGGTAGATGGTTGGTAGAAGGGAAAGAGGATTACGTCGCCGTGGATTAATGCCAGAGAAACAAAGTTTGGTGTTTTCAAAAATTAATGGCGGAGATCAAAAGTAGAGGCGTGAATAATTTTATTCCAGCTGATGTAAAGACAAGTTTGTATATTAAAAAAGAAAAATGTTTTTCATTTGCCGCTTTTACCGCTGACCAAATCAATATTATTATTTGAGGCTTAGTCGGAAAATCTTTAACTTTCTCAGCATCAGGTTGAGTCAAGCAATTATGTAATGCGTGTGTGTGCCTTGCCGTAATGGCCAACAATATCTTCTGGCAAATCATTATTACTGCTGAGAGTTCGATCCTTACTGGAGTCTCCTTTATTTGTGTCTTTGTGTTGTATTAAACTAAATACAGGGCCGGCGTGTACTACCTCGGAATCCCAAGTGCATTGTGACCTGCGTTATCTTATCAACATTTGCTTTTTTTCCACCTACATTTATATATGTTACAAATTAAGACTGTTAGAGGATGACACATTTTCGGTGATTTTTGACATCATCCTGGGATCTCATCTTTTTGTTCAAATCCATGAATGTGTTTTGTTAAGTCTCGGAAAAACACTGTATAAAATTCCATAAGGTTGAACTCGTTAAAATTCTCAAAAATTTCAAGAAGAAAAATCTCAAGTTGATATTAAAAGTTGCCTCAAAAACTTGTTGATTTATTTAAGATGGAATGATCTATTTTGTATTTAGATACATTGTATTTATTTTCAATTTTTCTAGTTGAATTGTTCACCTATATTACATAAGATCCATTATTGTACATAATTAAGTTACAATAAAATTTGTATTTTATATGAATACCACCTTATGAAAATTGAGATGTAGTAGAGGGTGGGGGCTTCATATCATAGATTCGGGGTGGGGACATGAGACCCTTGGATCGACCCTGACCAAATATAAAGGTACCACACTGTGCGGCAGGTAAATACTACTAGTGAATTTAAACTTTACAGATTGCTCCATATTAGTGACCTTGTGCCAAAACTAATCTATACTAAAGAAATAAAGCTTATTTTACCACTCCATGAAGCAACAAATAAACACAGTAACCATTATGATTGTAGCAATTCCTCTTCGGTATAGGCGCTCCACATATATAGCCTTGCGCCAGACTAAGCGAAGCCTGATGAAAGGATTTTAATATTCCTCATACTTTGCAACTGAAAATATTTTCATTATTTCTTAATTGGATGGGTCTGTCAGAGATTTGTTATTTAATAAGGTTAGTTTGGCACGAGGCCACGAATATGGGGCACCCAGGGAGAGAAATTAATTTGTAATATGTATGCAATCAGACTAGTTAAATAACCCTTTTTTCCAAGTCGTGACGCCTTATTTATCAAACTTAGCTTTGTTTGGCACAAGGCCACAAGAATTGGGCACTCAGTGA